GCGCAAAAAGACACGAAGACGCATTCTCGCTCAGGCTGTCGCAATTACAGAACTAACTGCTCGTCATGACAACCGAAACGTATTCGTGACAAGGACGCAAATTTGGGACAAGCATGTGTGCTGGTGAATAAATACCACGAGAAAAGATAAGAGACTGAGAGGACGCTATCTGTACAACTGACAGATATTTACGAACCCGTAGATGGATAGTATCAGAACTGGTTAGGCGATTTAATTTTGAAGCTGCTGTACGAAAAAAAACTGTTTAACTAGACACATGGGATAGCTGTACTGCTGCAAGAGATGCTGTGTTTTCTCTGTGCAAACGTTAACTGCACCAGGAGTCGCGAGATTTCGAACCATCGGTCTGGCTGCAAGACAGAGGAGGTCCAAAGATTAACTGACTGTGATTAAATTCACAAATTATTAGCGCTCTTTAAGGAATTGTGGGGCACTTAGATAGCCGCAACTAACTCCAAGTAATACCACTTAATCAGGAGACAAGTCTCCGATCCTGGAGCGTAGCTTCAGAATGTCTCCAATCTGTGTGAAAACCATTAGCCAATGTCTTCGAATGTAAATGAACGGTCATGATCGGCCGACCTCGCCAGAGTAGACCGTAAAATTTTACACACTTTGTGATCCTGAAGGACACCTATCGTAAGAAACGAACGCAAATCCACTTTCGTGGTCAAACAAACAGGAGACGTTCTACATCCTTTCTGTATATATCGTAGCAAAAATCTCCAACTACGCTGAAGACTGTGCATCAAATGCCACAAGTGAAAAGAAAATATAACGAAACATGAACCCATTTGCCATGGGATGCGCCAGATTAAAACCAAATAGTAAAACTGAGAAACTAACTGTGGTGTATAAAACGACAACATCCCTCTCAATCACCGCGAAAACATTGATTGTATGGCCGTGGCATTTTCGAAATGCTGTATTGAGAAGTATAGTATAAATGCTAACGATTAAATTGCGCTTTGGACTACCAAAATCAGTGGGGCTCTATGTCGACTTTTATCATTCGTATAAAGTGCCGAATCATCTCTCTCAACATCCAGCTGGAGGTGTACAGGGCTGTGGTCTCAAAAATGCTTTCTACAGCTCGGAACCATGGGAAACCTGCCAAGACCAAACACGAAAACCCAAGGGCTTTTAAACTGCTTCCAGA